AGGCACATCATTATGACTTTCCAGTATACAATGACAAAAAGGCTATCCAAAAAACATCTTGAAAGAGAAACCAAGTCATGTATAACGACAAGGAAACAGAAGGCATTAAATTTTTCAATACCAGACCTGGAAGCAAGAAATCAATGGGGTAACCATTCTCAAATTTTGGGTGAAAATCATTTGCAACCCCAAAACCTATTCAAATTATCAATCAAGTATAAAGGTAGAATATAAACAAATAGAGACATTTTCAGGTATGCATTAGCTCAAAAAATTATTTTTCATGCATTCTTTCCTAAAAAGCTACTAGAAAATGTGCTCCAACAAAAAAAGAATGGAAACTGAAAAAGATAATGACATGAGACCCAGAAAACAGGGTACAGAACAGGACAGAGAAAGTACAACTTCCTGCAGAATGACAGCTGTTGAGAAAGAAGGAAGGTTCTGGAGCTGGGTAGGGGAAGGAGGGGAAAAGCATTCCATTTGAACATATGGGAAATACTACTGATGAATGTAAGAGATTGTGGAACATCTGGTAGGGGGCACATAACAATGTACCAAAGTAGGCCAGGCATGGTGGCTCACGCCTGTAATCCCAGTACTTTGGAAGGCCGAGGCAGGTGGATCACGAGGTCAGGAGATCAAGACCATCCTGGCTAACATGGTGAAACCTCGTCTCCATTAAAAATACAAAAAATTAGCTGGGCATGGTGGCAGGCACCTGTAGTCCCAGCTACTCAGGAGGCTGAGGCAGGAGAATCGCTCGAACCCAGGAGGTGAAGGTTGCAGTGAGCTGAGATCGCGCCACTGGACTCCAGCCTGGGCAACAGAGTGAGACTCCCTCTCAGAAAACAAAACAAAACAAAACAACAATGTACCAAAGCAACAGTAGGTAAGCTAAAAAGGCAATTATGTATTAACTTCAAAAAAAATGAAGAACCATGTAAGAATGAAAGTGTGGTCATATTACACTATTTAACCAGCAGAGAATAATGTTTATAGAGTCAAAATATAAATCCACACTATTAAGTCACCTAAATGTATTATCAATGGCAACGAGAGAAAGAAATGGATGGAGCATCTACCATGGTTAATAATGTCTAAAAATGCAAAATCAAGAGATAGTAATGAATGTTATTTAGAAATATGAAAGAAAATAACCAGGAAAATAGTGAAACAGTTGAAAGGAACCAGCTCTTCATAAGTACTACTGACTTTTGAAACTAGACTGGTGATAAAATATTCTTCATAAAACAGTGTGGCTAGTATGTGAAAAGTAACTTAAGATGGGTTGGAAAAAAGACTAGTTAGGAGACTAATGCAGGCTGAAGATGAAGGTGGTGGTGGGCACAGAGAAGACAATGTATTTCTGATTTTTTTATTTTTTATTTTTTATTTTTTCAAGACGGAGTTTTACTCTTGTCACCCAGGCTGGAGTGCTATGGTGCGATGTCGGCTCACTGCATCCTCCGCCTACTGGGTTCAAGCAGTTCTCTTGCCTCAGCCTCCTGAGCAGCTGGGATTACAGACACGTGCCATCATGCCCGGCAAATTTTTGGCATTTTTTTTTTTTTTTTAGTAGAGACGAGAATTTGCCAGGTTGGCCAGACTGGTCTCGAACTCCTGATCTCAGGTGATCTGCCTGCCTCGGCCTTCCAAAGGGCTGGGATTACAAGCGTGAGCCGCCATGCCCGGCCTGGAGATAAGGTTTTTAAAGAGGTAATTAAGGTTAAATAAAGTCATAGGGTGAGGACGCATAATCCAGTGACTTATAAAGAGATTAGAACACAACAAAGAAGATACTATATGAAGACACAAGGAGAAGACCACTATCTACAAGCTAAGGGGAGTAGCCTCAGGAGAAAATCAATCCTGCTGATCTTTGACTTCTAGCTTCCAGAGATGTAAGAAAACAAATGTGTTCAGGCAGGGCGCGGTGGCTCATGCCTGTAATCCCAGCACTTTGGGAGGCCGAGGTGGGTGGATCGCCTGAGGTCAGGAGTTCAAGACCACCCTGACTAACATGGTGAAAGCCCATCTCTACTAAAAATACAATAATTAGCCAAGTGTAGTGGTGGGCGCCTATAATCCCAGATACTTGGGAGGCTGAGGCAGGAGAATCGCTTGAACCCGGGAGACGGAGGTTGCAGTGAGCCGAGACTGTGCCATTGCACTCCAGCCTGGGCAACAGAGCGAGACTCCAGATCAAAAAAAAATAAATAAATAAATGTGTTCGGCCAGGCGTGGGTGGCTTACGCCTGTCATCCCAGCACTTTGGGAGGTCGAGGTGGGCAGATCACCTGAGCTCAAGACCCGCCTGACTGACCAACATGGAGAAACCCCATCTCTACTAAAAATACAAAATTAGCCGGGCATTGGGCCAGGCGCAGTGGCTCACGCCTGTAATCCCAGCACTTTGGGAGGCCGAGGCAGGTGGATCACCTGAGGTTGGGAGATCAAGACCAGCCTGGCCAACACGGAGAAACCCCATCTCTATTAAAAATAGAAAATTAGCCGGGCATGGTGGCGCATGCCTGTGATCCCAGCTACTCAGGAGGCTGAGGCAGGAGAATCGCTTGAACCCAGGTGGCAGAGGTTGCAGTGGGCCGAGATCGCGTCATTGCACTCCAGCCTGGGCAACGAGAGCAAAACGCCGTCTCAAAAAAAAAAAAAAAAGATAAGAAAGAAAAGAAATGTGTTGTTTAAGCCACCCACCAGTCTCCAGTATTTTGTCATGGCAGCCCTGGCAAACTAATATCGCACTCTAGTTTCTCTCTCAAGTCTGGTCTGATCCTTGCCTCCTCTCCCCAAGTTCCCGCCCCATCCTAGTCAAAAGATGAGGCTACTCCATCATCAGTTCTCCCAACAACAACAACAAAAAGTGTTGATAACTTCATCATGGAGCTTTTAGTTCTTGATCATTCCAAACAACTAAGGTGTCCTAGCACAGGGGTCCCCATCCCTAGCACACAGGTCCCTGGCCCAGGCAGGCGGCGAGTGGTACCATCTGAGCTCCGCCTCCTGTTTGATCAGCAGCACATTAGATTCTCATAGGAGCACCTATTGTGAACCTACGGTGAACTGCGCATAGGAGGGATCTAGGTTGCTCGCTGCTTATGAGAATCTAACTAATGCCTGATGATCTGAGGTGGAATGATTTTATCCCAAAACCATCCCTGCTCCGTCTGTGGAAAAATTATTCTCCATGAAACGAGTCCCTGGTGCCAAAAAGGTTGGGGACTGTTGTCCTAACACACCTCATCTCTCTTATTCTTTAATGTTTCTGAAACTAAAAGCACTTTTAGAAAAATTTGTATAATTAAACCATCAAATAGCTGTTTAGAGACGAGAGAGCAATTTGGAATTCTGAAGTCACAAAGGTAAATTTGGCAAATATCCTAGCCAAGGTATGGTAGGGTCTACATGTCACATTCCCATGTCCAGGTAGCTTGAATTTTCAAACTAGAAAGGGTAATAAATGCTTTCCCTCCTTCCCCACATCCAAACATATCACAAGGAGTTTGTTGTCCTTACTTCAAGAACCTTAAACATCTACAATTAGTTCAATATTCTAATATTCTTCTGCTTGTTGACATCACAAGCAGAAAATTAAGAAGTTACTCAATTGCTTTATCTCATCAGAAAAGAAAGGCTGTAAATTAGAAGCTTTAATCTGGTGTTATAGGAAAGCACAATAAATTTTAAACATACATACAAGGCCAGGCGCGGTGGCTCATGCCTGTAATCCCAGCACTTTGGGAGGCCAAGGCGGGTGGATCTCATGAGGTCAGGAGTTCAAGACCAGCGTGGCCAACACGGTTAAACCCCATCTCTACTAAAAATACAAAAATTAGCTGGTCATGGTGGTGGGTGCCTGTAATCCCAGCTACAGCTACTTCAGAGGCTGAGGCAGGAAAATCACTGAAACCCAGGAGGCGGAGGTTACAGTGGGCCAAGATCAGGCCATTGCACTCCTGCCTGGGCGACAAGAATGAGACTCCATCTCAAAAAACAAAATAAAATAAACCTACAAGTTTATAAATACATATACACGCATATGCACAAGTGCACACGTCTTCCACAGCATCACTAAGTAACAATTTGTACATTTATCATGTAATGAACAAGCCCTATAGTATCTGTATGAATTCTGACCCATTATTACATCAACCTGAACCCATACTTCAGTCTCATAAATATGTGTAAACTCACTGACATGTGTTCTATATACTTTTTAGATTTTCACAATTGCTCAGCCACTTTGCTAAGAGACCTGTGGTTATCAGCTACTATATATGTACAAAGAAATAAAAAAGATCTAAAATTGGGCTAACATTATCCTAAGAAGAAAGTTGAACGTCCTCTCATTCCAAGAAGGAAAATACGCACAGCATTCAAAATAGCACCATTATTATAGAACTGAGAGTTAGGTTACCTGACCCTGGAAGTTTAATATAGCCGGCGTTTTTAAGCTCTGCCTGGTCTCGACATCTCTGCTTGGAATTGAGTTTAAGGCTGAACTCTGAGTAAACAATTGAACGGGTGCTGAAAACCCAACTCTAGCCCACCCGCTGATGAAACGAAGGTGACACCTCTCATCGTTAAGGTAAGAATCTGTGCAAATGAAAAAGGACTAACCAATCACTTCACCTTCGAATGCAGGCCAAGGTTACAATCTGGGCAGCCTGTGGTGAGAATGAAATCAAGAGCAGACGCTGCCGGTGAAGCAAGACAGAGTTTCACTCAGAGTCAGGAAGCCCTGCAGCCTATCCTTTCCCTCCCCCAGGATGCCCGAGGGCCGGCCATGGGTAAAGGGCCCACCTCTGCGCTCAGCCCTAGAGGCTAAGGGACAACAGTTGATTTTAAGACACTTGTCCGTCCACGCCCCTTTTTAAACAAACAAACAAAAAAACCAAAAAACCAAAACCAAAAAAAAAAAAAAAACAGCATATCAGCGACCCGGCGTGTGGAATTGCCCCGCGGCTGCCGCCCCCACTCACCGCACACCATCAGCAGCAGGACGATCAGCAGAGTAGCCACGAACACAAGCAGGGTCAGCCCGACGCTGTGCCACATCTTGGGGCAGAAGGGCGGCCGGCTCGGGGCGGCGGGCGCGGACGGCAGTGAGCGAGGGCGGCCGCGCGTCCTGCGCTTCAGCTGCGGGCGCCAGGCGCGGCTGGGCGCCGGGGCTGCATGGGCGGCTGGCGCCCCCTCAGCAGCGCCCTCAGGGGGTGGGGCGGCGCAAAGACGGGCACTGTGGGACCTCCCGCCCGCCCGATCCCTTTCCCGCCCGGGTGGCCAGAGCGCTGGAGTCAGGCGGGCCGCAGGGCGCCTCTAGTCCGTCATCGCCCCGGGAAGCCGAGGCCGCGGCACCCAGAGACCCCGGCGATCGGATGTGCTTCCATGGCGGACACCGCGCGCCTGTGGGGAGGACAGAGGGTTAGCGCGGGGACACACGGCGGCCACAAGGCCTTCGTCGCTGTCCACCCAAGTGTCTCTGAGACCCCCAGGGATGCCAGATGTCAGCGCCTCCCGGCCGCTGCTGCAGCGGCTTCTCCGCCCCAGGCCCCCTACCGCTGCGGCAGCTCATCACCGAGCTCGCCTCCTCCGCGGCGCGGGGGCGGCTGGGAGATGGAGTGCAGAGCCTGGTGGAGACGGGAGGGCGTTGTCTCGCACGGACTACAACTCCCAGAAAGCACCGCCCACTCGGGCTTCGCTGCTTCCATCGTGAGGGTCGCTCTGCCTTTGGTCTTGCTCAAGTCGCCTCAGTCGGAAGAAGGTGGGCTGGCCTTCTCCGCAGCCGCGGATTTGGCTTCCCGCAGTGCTGAGGCGCCAGTGAGATTTCAACCATTATTCCGAATACGAAGTCGTTTTGTTTCCAGCCGTGATGAAGTACGCCGAGGGAGGAAAGAGGAGGCGGCTGCCTGAAAAACTGGTTGCTCGTGCACCTAGCCCTGTTGCCCGGGGCGAAGGTTGGATATTTGGGACTTGGAGGAAGTACTCAGGTCCCTCATTTTTCCCTTGCAACAGATGTTATGTTCTGTCTTTTCGTAGGTAAAGCATTTCAGAAATGGCCCGCGGGTGACTTAAGGACAGCAGCACTGCCCTCAGATCGCCGGCCTGAGTTGTAAATTAGACTCAGCTGCTTCCTTGAGACCAAGCGACAGCTGACCCACAGCTTGGAGATGTTGCCGCACTGGCTTACTCCTCTACGAAACAAGACACTTGCATAATCTCAACTATTCTGTCTCCACCTAAAATTAAAACTCCCCACTTCCGCCAGATTACATTCACTTGTTAAAGAGGTGCCCCGAGAAGAATAGAGGGTAAATGTGTCCCTCTTTCAGAAGGAATCAGAGCCTTCGCGTTTTCCTGTGACTCCTTTGCTTCCTGAGATACTTTCTACTCTTCTAGAAATTACAGTTCCCTGTCTTCTGTCTCCAAAAACAAACACAAAAGTTCGAAGCAGCAATCCCTTGATTTAATAAATGTATCCTGCCATACCCAGCTGCCATGCTATGTGTACTGTATTCCCTAAGAAGCAACATTAGGAACCGATATCATATGTAAAAATACATTAAAGGATAATTACTTGCTTTGCAACAGATTTAATATAGATTCCTGTGAAGAGAATGAACCCAGTGAAATTAAGATATATTTACAAAAAAATCAGTTTGTGCTTATTTCATGGATGGTTCAATTACTTTGCATAAGTAAAGCACATTTTATTAAAAACCAGTTGAAAATAGCCGTCAGGGCTAGGCGAGGTGGCTCACGCCTGTAATCCCAGCACTTTGGGAGGCCGAGGTGGGCAGATCACCTGAGATCAGGAGATCGAGACCAGCCTGGCCAACCTGGTGAAACCCTGTCTCTACTAAAAATACAAAAATTAGCCGGGGGTAGTGGTGGGCGCCTGTAATTTCATGTACTCGGGGGGCTGACGCAGGAGAATCACTTGAACCCTGGAGGCCGAGGTTGCAGTGTGCCGAGATCGCGCCACTGCACTCCAGCTTGGGCGACAGAGAGACTCCGTATCAAAAAAAAAAAAAAAAAAAAAAAAAAAAAAGCGCCATCAGAAGAACTAAAACAATTTATTTTTATCATTGATTCACATATATTGGAATACCTATAGAGGCCAGGCACTGTTCTAAGTGCTGGGGATACAGCAGTGAATAAGACAAAGTGCCTTTACTCAAGATGCTTATATGATGGTTGGAGAAAAACAGACAATAAGCATAAATAGAGAAATCTCAGGGACTGCTATTAATTCAGTCATGAAAATAAGCAAGACAGTGTGATAAATGTAGGTGTGTTATTTTAGCTTGTTGTGGGGGATCAGGGAAGGTCTTCCTGAGGAAGTAACATTTAATCTGAGTCCTGAATGACAAGAAGGGTTCATGGAAAGACCTAGAGAAGAACACACCAGGTAAAGGGAACAGCTAGTGCAAAAGCCACAGGAAGCAAATCAACTTGGCCATTGCTCTAAGCCTTGTCAATGTTTCTCAACTCTGGATGCACATTTCAAATCACCTAGGGAGATTTATAAATTACAAATAGCTAGACCTCATCCCCATACCAAATGAACAGAATCTCTGGGAGTAGGGCCTAATCATGATTGTTTTTTATTTTTGTTTTTGAGACAGCTGGTTGGGTGCGGTGGCACCGCAACCAGCTTTGGGGGGCCGAGGTGGGCAGATCACTTGAGGTCAGGAGTTCGAGACCAGCCTGACCAACATGGCGAAACCCCATCTCTACTAAAAATACAAAAAATAGCTGGGTGTGGTGGCAGATGCCTGTAATCCCAGCTACTCAGGAGGCTGAGGCAGGAGAATCGCTTGAGCCCAGAGGCAGAGGTTGCAGTGAGCCAAGATCACACCACTGCACCCCAGCCTGGGTGACAGAGCGAGACTCAGTTTTAATAAAAATGAAATTAAAAAAATAAGCCCAGCTATTTCCAGTCCTTTTACTATTCTCATCCCTATAAAAAACGCTCTGCTCCCTCCTTTCTGACAGCCTCACTCCTACTTCTGCAATGTCTGTCCACATTCCTCCTCAGTAAGATCTTCCTGACTCCTGTTCACTTGTCTAACTCCTCTAAGCCAATGGCTTACTGCAGCCTTGACCTCCTGGGCTCAAGTGATCCTCCCACCTCAGCCTCCTGAGTAGCTGGGACCACAGGCATGCATCACTATGCCCTGCTAATTTTATTTTTTGCAGAGATAGGTTTTTGCCATATTACCTAGGCTGGTCTCGAACTCCTGTGCTCAAGTAATCTGCCCACGTTGGCCTCCCAAAGTGATGGAATTACAGGCATGAGCCACCACACCTGGTTATCAGTCTTGTTTATACGTTGGAATTACCCAGGGAGCTTTAAAAACATTCCTAGGTTTTGGGCTGGGCGCGGTGGCTCACACCTGTAATCCCAGCACTTTGGGAGGCCGAGGCAGGAGGATCACTTGAGGTCAGGAGTTTGAGACCAGCCTGGACCACAAGGTGAAAGCTCATCTCTACTGAAAATGCAAAAAAATTCAGCCAGGCATGGTGGCACATGCCTGTAATCCCAGCTACTTGGGAGGCTGAGGAGTGAGAATTTGTGGAACCCGAGAGACGGACGTTGCAGTGAGCCAAGATCATGCCACGGCACTCCAGCCTGGGAGACAGAGCAAGACCCTGTCTCAAAAAAAAAAAAAAAAAAATTCCTAAGTTTCTTTTTTTTTTTGAGACAGAGTCTCGCTCTGTCACCCAGGCTGGAGTGCAGTGGCCGGATCTCAGCTCACTGCAAACTCTGCCTCCCGGGTTTACGCCATTCTCCTGCCTCTGCCTCCCTAGTAGCTGGGACTACAGGCGCCCGCCACCTCACCCAGATAGTTTTTTGTATTTTTTAGTAGAGATGGGGTTTCACCGTGTTAGCCAGGATGGTCTCGATCTCCTGACCTCGTGATCCGCCCGTCTCGGCCTCCCAAAGTGCTGGGATTACAGGCTTGAGCCACCGTGCCCAGCCAAAAAAATTTCCTAGGTTTCATACCAGGAATACTGAAGGCAGGGAAGGAGGTATAGAGGAGCTGTAAGTTTTTTAATATTCTCCATGTTTTGATGAACAGACTTGAGAAACACCAGTGTAAATTACATTTAGCAATTGTGTGCCCACCTTGTGATAGCCCTTGGATTGTTTCATATTTAGCAATTCAAATATATATATATATATATAATATATGTTCATATATGTCTTACTTCAGGCTGCTATAACAAAATACCTTAGATTGGGTAGTTTATATACAACAGAAATTTATTGTGTACAGTTTTGGAGGCTAAGAAGTCCAAGATCAAAGTGCCAGCAGATTCAATGTCTGGTGAGAGCTCGCTGCTTCATAGATGGCACCTCTTGCTGTGTCCCTACAAGGTGGAAGAAGCAAGGGAGTTCACTCAAGCTTTTCAGGTTTGCTTTTTTGTTTTTTCGTTTTTTTCTGAGACAAGGTATCACTCTGCCGCCCAGGCTAGAGTGCAGTGGCACGATCATGACTCACTGCAGCCTTGACATCCCTGGGCTCAGCCGATCCTCCCACCTCTGCCTTTAGAGTAGCTGGGTCTATAGGCATCTGCCACCACTCTCCTGGCTAATTTTTTGTATTTTTTGTAGAGATGGGGTTCCACCATGTTGCCTAGGCTGGTCTCAAACTCCCAGGCTCAAGTGATCCGCCGGCCTCAGCCTCCCGAAGCGTAGGATTATAGGTGTGAGCCACCACACCCGGTCCTTGAGCTTCTTTTACAAGGGCACTAATCTCATTCAAGAGGGTGGAGCCCAGGCCGGGCGCGGTGGCTCAAGCCTGTAATCCCAGCACTTTGGGAGGCCGAGACGGGTGGATCACGAGGTCAGGAGATCGAGACCATCCTGGCTAACACGGTGAAACCCCGTCTCTACTAAAAAATACAAAAAAACTAGCCAGGCGAGGTGGCGGGCGCCTGTAGTCCCAGCTACTCCGGAGGCTGAGGCCGGAGAATGCCGTGAACCCGGGAGGCGGAGCTTGCAGTGAGCTGAGATCCGGCCACTGCACTCCAGCCTGGGCGACAGAGCGAGACTCCGTTTCAAAAAAAACAAAAAACAAAAAAAA